TTAACCCTTTCCACAAAATTAAGACATTCCTGTTAATACTCTATCATTCCTCCAATCAACAAGGTGTGAAACTTTGGAGTATATTTTAGTCACCCCTCTCCTTCTTCCACACTTGCTCCCTCACCTCTACCATTTCATCAAAAGATTATCAAGAACATAAAAGGTCTTTTATAAATAGTTACAGAACAGATGAATGACTTAATACCTATGTCTAGGTCTACTCATCAGTTAAGCAAGGACAATATAACCTTTCTGTTTGGGATAAGAATAAAGTAAACAACTGTCAAAAATATAGAACTACTGACCAACTATAATAACCAGCACACACAAGAGCTCTGACCATACTACAGAATGGAGACATGTTAAGAGTAGAAAGATACAGAATCAGAAATGACATTTTGAATTCCAATTCTATGATGAACTAGCTATGTGTTCTTGGTCAAGTCATATTGCTGATTGGTTCTCTTATCAGCCACATAAAATTAATCTTATCCATTTCACAGGGACACTGTGCGGTTAAAAGACATGCATGAAAACATTAAACTGCCATTACCAAACCAAAAAAACTGAACCTACCACTCAAAAATGTTCTGAGGCAGCACTCATCGGGATTTCAAGGCTGTAAATCTTTACAGAAGATTGCCTAGCTTTCTCCTGTGTACTGGCTACAAGATTTAAACCTCTGATCTTACTGATTAGTAGCTAACGAGGTTATACACTATACTACTAGGTCCTACAAAAACTAACTCCTAGGTTTTTTGATCACTCAGATGGCATACTTGCCTCTGTAATGGATTTGTGTCCCCAAAGAAGTAGTGTTGTAAAGTCCTGGTGGCTGTGGTGAAGTGTTCAGCTGCTCACCCCAAGGCTGTGCACTCAAACTCACCAGCCATACCAAGAGAAAAAGATGTGGCAGTCTATTCTCATAAAGATTACAAATGTAGTATTTTGATCACTCAGATGGCATACTTGCCTCTGTAATGGATTTGTGTCCCCAAAGAAGTAGTGTTGTAAAGTCCTGGTGGCTGTGGTGAAGTGTTCAGCTGTTCACCCCAAGGCTGTGCACTCAAACTCACCAGCCATACCAAGAGAAAAAGATGTGGCAGTCTATTCTCATAAAGATTACAAATGTAATAGGCAGTTTTACTCTGTCCACTCTGAATATAAATTTTATCTCAATAGCAATGGATTTATACTTGTGATTATAACTCCACTTGTGAATGGGATTTTTCTGTTATATTAATGAGACCATAACCAGTGTACAGATAGGCCAGTCACTTTTGAGACAGAAATAGTGAAGCAAGCAGAGAAGAGAGGCAAGACCATAAGAGGATCATCAAGGAGTCAAAGAGAAAATCTGAAGAGAGACAAAGGCTTCCCCAGAGACAAGACTTCCAGGAGCACTGGTGGCCTGAATTTTAATTTCTAACCCCTTCAACTATGAGAAAACGTTTGTTCTTTAAAGCCACTTACTTGTGACACTTCTATAATAGTAGTACTACATAAGTATACAATCCCAGAAAAGGATAAGGACTTGCCTTATGTTCTGTAACTGAGCTCCATATAAGCATAAACTCCCTATCGCATTTCACATACAATTTTTGATAGTTACTCAAACATTCTAAGCTTTTGCGTCTTCATTAAGTCACTGAGGAAAAATATACTTAATTGGTCTGCTCCAATGGTATTTATTAAGAGTTATGTCTCCATGCAAAGCTTCTCTTTTTCTCAATCCTATCAAAAGTCCTGTCTCCCTACAAAGACCTGATTTCTCAACTTTCATTTATGTTCCTTTCTTTCCAATGGCAATGGGTTCTATCCTATAATTGCCCTCTATTGCTTTCTGTTCAAAGCTCTGAACAGCAAGTGTCAAGAGAGAGAATCCTTGACTTACAACAAGAATTCACCAGTACACCTGCTGGAGACTACCTCTAATGTTGTTACTGTTGTTATGTGCTGTCAAGTCACCTGTGACTCACAGTGACCGTATGTACAAGAGTTCTGAAGCCTGCCCTGTTCAGAGCCAGTCTCACTGACTCTGACACACCTACTCAAATGACCCCAGTTACTGTATCAATCCATCTCATCCAGGGTCTTTCGCTGTTTCCTGATGTCCCTCCACCCTTCAAAGCATGATGTCCTTCTCTAAGGATTGGTCCCTCCTGGCCATATGTCCCAAGTATGTGAGACAGAGCTTCAAAATCCTAGCCACCAAGGAGAAACTTGGCCTCACCCCCTCTAAGAGAGACTTGTTTTCTTTGCAGTCCATGGTATGTGCAAGACTCTTCCCTAGCACCAAAATGCAAATACAACAATTCTTCTTCTGTCATCCTTAGTCATTATCCAGCTCTCTGATACATAGCAAGTAATTGTTAAGATTACGGCCTGGATCAGACCCACCCTAGTCTCTAGACTGATATCACTGTGTCTCAGTACTCTGGAGAGGTCCCTGACAGCAGATTTTTCGAGTGCTATTCGTCTTTTGATTTCCTGACTGCTTGTGTCAACAGTGTTGATTGTGGAGCTGAGCAAGCAGTAATTATTAACGACCTCAATCTCTTATCCATCTACCATGGTGCTGCCAATTGGCCCAGTGGTGAGAATCTTTGTGATACACCTACCCCCATTACCCCAGTCACTGAATCAATCCATCTCATCAAGGATTTTCCTCTCTTACGCTATCGCTCCCCCTCCCAAGCATGACATACCTCTCCAAAGACTGATCCCACCTTGCAGCATGTGCAAAAGTATGTCAAATGAAGTTTCAGAATCCTTGCTTCCAAAGAGCAGCCTAGCTTTACCCTCTCCAGGATGAACTTGTTTATTCTCCTAGCAGTCCATGGTATATTCAATACTCTTCTCCAGCACCAGCTCCTTCTATCATCCCTAGTCATTGTCCAAGTTTCTGATGCATTAGCAAGTAATTGCAAAGACCCTGGCCTATATCAGGCACAATTTAGTCTCCAGACTGACATCATTGCTCTTCAGTACTTTGGAGAGGTCTCTTGACAGCAGACTTTCCCAACGCAATTCATCTTTTAATTTCCTGGCTGCTGGTACCAAGAGTGTTGACTGTAGAGCCAAGCAAACTGAAGCTGTTGATAATCTTTTCACCATCCATCATGATGTTGTCAATCAGCCCAGTGGTGAGAGTCTTTGTTTTATATTGAAGACTGCATAAAATAAAAATAATAGAGTAACAGAGTATTTTTTAAAAATCCAAAACACTACTGTGAGAAACAAGAAATCTAAACAAAAGGGAAAATGTTCCTTGTGGTTGGATAGGAAGACTCAGTATAATGAAAATGACAGTCCTACCATAAGTTGCCTGTGTTAGAGATGACAAAATCTTGCTTGCTGATAGTGAGGTCTTGAAGCACTTGTTACAGAAGATCAAGGAATGCAGCCTTCAGTATGAACTGCATCTCAATGTCAAGAAAACAAAGATTCTTACCACTGGACTAATAGGTAGCATCATGATGGATGGAGAGGAGAGACAAAAACTGTCAAGAGCTTCATCTTTCTTGGATCCACAATTAACACCCTTGGTATTAGCAGTCAGGAAATAAGGAGACACATTGTTCTGGTCACTTTTCTGATCACTTGCTATGCTACGCATCTGAGAGCTGGACAATGAATAAGGATGACAAAAGAAGAATTAGCACCTTTGAGCTGTGTTGTTGGAGAACACTGAACATCCCATGGACAGCCAGGAGAACAAAAGAACGTGTCTTGAAGAAGGTCCAGAGTGCTCTTTGGAGGCAAGAATGAAGAGGCTTCGCCTCACATACTTTGGGCATGTTGCTAGGAGAGGCTATTCTGTGGAGAAGGGCATGATGCTGGGAAGGGTGGAAGGTCAGTGAAGGAAAGGAAAACCCTCAAGCAGGTGTACTGACATGGTGACTGCTGCAATAGGCTCCTGTGTGTCAGGAAGAGCAAGGATGGCACACGATAGAGCAATGTTCCGATATTTTGTTCATAGGGTCATTATGAGTCGTACTCAACTCAGTGGCACCTAACAACAACAATAAACCATAAGTTCAATGTAATTTCAATACAGATACCAAATTCATTTTTTAAGAGATAGGAAAGCAATTGGTAAATTTATCTGGCAAGGAGAGACTTTGAATAAGCAAAGCACTTCTGAAAAACAAAAATTAAGTGGGATCAGCAGCAATAGCAAAGTTCTATAGGGCAGCAAACAACAAATGCTGGAGAGGTCGTGCAAAGATTGGAACTCTTGGGGGGAGGGGGGAGGGGTTTGTGCGGAGAGAAGGGTACAACAATGAATGAATGGAATATCAAAATCTCTGTAGATGTTCACTGAAATGAAAAATAAACAACCTAAATTTAAAAAAAATAAAAAAAAAAAGATTGGAACTCTTATTTACTGCTGGTGGGAATGCAAAATGGTACAACACACCAGCCCCCATTGTCCCATGTCAATCCATCTCAGCTCTTCCTCTTCTGTGCTGTCCCTCCACTCTTATGACTGTTTCACACCTGTCATTCACATTCCAAACAAGATTAGCATATTCACTGAACACACCCTCTTTCTTCATTCCCCACCCCCCCACCCCCACCCCCCGGCGGACTTCTGCCTCTGCTGAGTGCCCCAATAAAGTTCCCTTTCCAGGCGTCAGGCCGGCACCTGCATGCACAACGCCGGCAATGACAAACAGCCCCAGCACTTGAACAGTCACTGTGCCACAGAGTCCAACACAGTTTACTACATTCCACATAGGTATTGTGTGTAAAACTAGGCTGCTCTGGAGCCAAACCCACAACTTCTATAGAAGCCAGGATCTCAGCTGGTCACCATTCTGAACCATCAGGTGAAGAAACCTAGGTTGGCAGGGCCTAATGTCACAAGTGAAGGGAGCGGACTCGACAAGCGGCCAGGCGCCCGCAGGAAGGAGGCTCAAGGCCTCGGCTTCAGGGCCAGCTGCGGGCGGACGCAGGAGCGAACAGGGGTCGGGACCTGCCCACTCCTCTGTTACCTGGAGCACCAAGGCCTGCGCCGCCCCCGGCGGAAAGCCCATCCGGTCGGACGGGTGGCGCAGCAGTCGGTAGAAGTCGGTCTTGCGGTAGAGGAAACCGAAGAACACGCGCAGAAAGTCTTGGATGTTGCCCACATGCTGCAGAATGCCCAGCAGGGCCTGATCGTACAGCTCGGCCGACCCGGGCTCCATGGCGTACGGCAAGTCCAAGAAGAAAACTCACAAATCCCGGGGAACGTGCAGAAGCACTCGACCAGCCAGCCACTTCCGGCGTGCTGCAGCTAACGGCTCCCCCGGACAGCACGGCCGCGGCACTTCCAGTCCGCGCTCTTTTCCGACTGGCTCCCTCACCTGCCCTTCCCGCCCACCAGCTCAACTGATAGATCCAGGCGTATTATTAGGTAAAAGGGAAGATTTCCGGGGACCACGATTGCAACGAGAGGAAGAACTGATACCACTGGCACGTGGGCCATCAGGAACACCACCTGATCCACTGGTTTTTCTCACTATTTGTGGGATTCTTGGTAATTCTGACCTGATTTGGCCTCTGACCTCCACGCTTAAACCTGGAACACTATAAATTTTTGTCAGTGGCTCAGGTAAGGAAAACAAGCGCTTGAGCTGTCCGAATTTGCTACTGGTAGCATCTGTGAGTGAAAAGGTAGAGCAGTAAGAAGAAATTCCAAATTATTTGTATGCATTTGATAGAATGAGAAAACTGTCAAATGAGTGCATACCTTAGAAATGCTCAATATCACTGGCAGTAAGAGAGATGCATATCAAAACCAAAATGAGATACCATCTTACTCCAGTAGTAGTAGCAAAGTTTAACAGGACAACAAGCATGAATGTCGGAGATGATGGGGAGAGGTGGGAACTCAGGCACACTGTTGGTAAGATTATAAAATTATACAACCACCTTGGAAGGCAATTTGGCGTTTCCTCAAAAAGTTAAGCATAGAAACTCCATTTGACTCAGCTATTGCACTAATAAGAGTATACCCCAACGTAGAACTGGGTCACAAACAGCACATTACTCACCATCACAAGAATGTGGAAACAGGCCAATTGGATTGAAAAATTGTGGTACATTCACACTCATAAGGACAAATACTGCATAAGACCATTATCCTTCTAAAAATTGAGGGATAACTAGTAAAACATACGTGGAAATCCAAAGGTAAAAGGAGTGGAAACGGAATAATTTGGATGGATAGAAGCAAAACCACAGGGTTGCACAATTTGAAGGGTGGAGGGAGGGGGTGAAGGAAATGGGAAGGATCTGGTGAGGACCTGAAAAGACAGGGTAATAATGGGCAAAGCCCAATGGTGATTAATTTTATAAAATTTAATGCACAGGAATGATTGTATGAAGCACAATGTAAATGAAAAATAATGTAAAACACAATGTATACATACTTTGTAATCAAATCAATATAAGTTTTCTTAAAAGAACAAAAAAAGAGCTAGATGTGGAGAGTGAAGGAGCAAGAGAGAGAGAAAGTGTGTGTGTCTCTTTGTGTGTGTGTGTGTATGTGTGTGTGTGTGAGATTGAGTCACATAGCTGATGCTCCAGTAGGCTTCCAGAGGCAATTAATCCCACAGGAGAAGATTGTCCATCCTTCACCCACATGGCATCTGGTGGATTCAAACCACATGCTTTTAGAATTAAAGAATGTTATGCACACACATGTTTATCGCGGCTTTGTTCACAATAGCAAGGAGTTGGAAACAACCCAAGTGCCCATCAACATACGAATGGATAGAGAAGCTGTGGTATATTCACATGATGGAATACTATGCTGCATTGAAAAATAAGGAACTCATGCAATATTATTCAAAATGGGTGACCCTGGAAGTCATTATGCTGAGTGAAATATCTCAGTAACAAAAGGACAACATGGTGCCACTGTTGTAGAATGGGACTGACATCAGGGTTGGGGCAAGACTGAGAAAAACTGGATAAATTGTGTATATTGCATTGAAACAGACGAGAGAGAGAACAATTTAAAAGTGATATATGGTAGGGTATTATGGTTATCACAAGAATCCAGAATTAAGGTTGCTTAGTGGAGTGTATTCAGGGCGGGGGAATTGTATGCCAATGAAAGAATTTTTCTCTTACTTCTCAAAGAGAAGAGCAAATGGGGGGGGAAGAGTGGGGAGGGAGAAAAGTGCAACAGTGAATGAATGGAAATTCAAAATCTGTAAATGTTCACTAAAATTAATAAAATTTTTTTAAAAAGAATCAATGTTGTTATGTGCCATCTTATGATGTATGTGACAAATATGTAGGACACAGATCTATTATTTTATTGAAAGGGGTTTTTTGAGAAACCTGGCATTTATAGATTTTTCTAAAACACATTGTTTCTGTCGTTATTAACTTAATCTGTCCCAAACCTACAATTCTCTGAGGCTTAAAAATAATTGATAGTGGCATGGTTCCAAGTTGAACAGAGGATTCTTCAGCAAAAAGGATATGCTCTGGAAAGAATTGTCACAGAGGAAGACATTCAGATGGCCAACAGACACATGAAGTGCTTAAAATCACTGGCAATCAGAAACATGTCAATTAAAACCACAATGAGATACTAGTAGTAGTGACAAAGTTTAACAGGACAGCAACTAGTAAATGTTGGGGAGGATGTAGCAAAATAAGAACTCTTATACACTGTTTGTGGGATTGTAAAATGCTACTATCACGCTGGAAGGCAGTTTGGTTTTTCCTCAGAAAGCTAAACATAGAAATTCCATGTGACTCAGCTATTCCACTGCTTGAAATATACCCTGAGAAAATGAGAACAGAGGCCCAAATGGAGACTTGTACAACAATGTTCTTAGCAGCATTATTCACCATGGCAAATACATGGAAAAAGCCATGTCCAACCACAATTGAATAGACTGAGAAATTATGATACATTCACAAGATGGAATACTATGTAGCATGTAGGAGCAATGATTTTGTAAATACTACCTAACTTGGGAGGGACTGGAGAGCATTATGCTAAATGAACTAACACAGTCCCATAAAGACAAACACTGTATAAGACCATTATTGTGGAACATGTATGAGAATCTGAGGGAGAAAGCAAAGGGGTGACAATGGGAGGGTTAATCATAGGGTCACACGAATTGATGGGTGGAGGCAGAGGTGGATAAAGGAAATGGGAAAGATCTGGTATGAAAAACAATGTATATGAACTTTATAAGTAAACCAGTATAAAATAAAAATTTTATTAAAAAAGAAATAATTTTTTTAAATGGACATACTTGTTCCCTCAGAATATTAGTTTGATACGGTTAGACAAACCAGGTATGGCTATCTAAAATTGGATATTAAGGCACACTTCCACAAATGCAATTATTAGGTGATCCTAAGGGGGGAATATACCAACCTAAAATACACATGAACTAAAAGGAATGTAACTGAAAAATTGTTTAAAACATAATGTACATGCACAAACACAATGTATATGAATGATAAAAATATTAATTAAAAATGAAATAGTATGGAAAAGGAAATAAAGTTATACCACGGTAGAAGTAGACTCTCAAAGCTCCTTAGGAATACAATTTTTCCTCTTTCAAATTTTTAGTACTGATTTCTTTTTTGTTGTTGTAATTTCAGTCACCAATCATGCACATCTTGAGGTAATTTTCTTTCTTTATTTTTCCCCATACTCACTCTATTCAATCCATACTGTTCCAGACTGTTTATTGCAATGCACATCTAATCATTCAGATAACCCTTTGCTTCACCTATTTGCAATGCAAGGTTCATTATCCATTCTTTTCCTGCTCTCCTCACCACACCCCAGCTTCCCATAACTTTCCTATTTTTATAATGGTGGTATTATACAGTATTTCTTCTTCCGTAACTGAGTTATTTTGCCCACACATTGTCCTTAAGATTCATCCATTTTCTGTAGTTTTCCATGAGTTCTTCGTGGTTTTCCGTTGCTGCAACACTCCCTTGTGTATCTTAGATTCTCTATTTGTTTGTTAATGGGTACCTGGGCCATTTCCAACTCTTTGTTGTAATTCCGCAGTAACATAGCTGTGCATACGTCTGTGTCACAGCTCTGACTTCTTTAGGTTCTATTCCTAAGAGTGAAATAGCTGGATCAAATGGTATTTCTTTTTTACTTATTTTATTAATTTTAATGAACATTTACAGAGATTTTGGATTTCCAGTCATTCATTGTTGCACATTTCTCCCTGCCCAGCCCTCCC